GACAGCCCTACAACGTCCAGAGCCTTCAGGAACTCGGGGCGGACATAATCAACACCAGGGGCTCTGCCACCAAGGAGTTGTTTAACTGCCTCAGTGACCTCGCCCCCGGAAATTGGCGGGTCATTCCCCTCATCCCCAGACTCTGCTTCCTGCCCGCAAGACGTGTCAGTGGGATTAAGGAGGTCCTCGAAGTATTCCTTCCACCGCCTGACAATTTTCTCAGTCGAAGTCAGCAGTGCTCCGCCAGCACTATACACAGTGCAGGTAGAACACCGCTTTCCCCTCCTGAGACGCCTGACGGTTTTCCAGAATCTCTTCGAGGCAGCCCTAGATGATAATATAATTACAAAAATGATTTTTGTGGGTTTTTTTCTATTTTTCAAATGTTTTGAATTTTGATTTGTTTTTAACACATTTTTAATATCTGAAAACCGAGACAATCAAAAATATAAAATTTGCAGAGAAAACAAAACAAAGTTGTTGTTTTTTTTAAATGTAAGTATCTGGCATAATTATATTTGCTCTTTTCAATATGTTTTATATCTTTTTTTTTTTAACTTTTACATTTTAAATTTTTTAAAATATGTTCATATTTATTTTTTGAGTTTTTTGCTGATAATAATTTTTAACAATTCTTTTAACTTTTCATATATTTTAACACATTTGTAATAATTTATTTTTTAAATTCTAGTATTTTTGCTTTTTTCATCTTGAAAAAAATTACACTATTAACACATTAAAACCTTTTTGAAGGAAAAAAGTGATGCAGTTATTTCTCACACCCAGTGTGTGGTGCAGTCAGTGAAGAGTTTTTGTGTGTTGTTCAGACTTGTTTCAGACATCGCCTTCACTGGTAGATATGGATGCCACACTTCATCCAAACCTATTTAAATTTGTGTCTTGTACTGATCTGTAACTTCTGTAACAGGATTCAAGAAAGTCTCACACATTTTAGCTAAAATATAATCTTAGATCTAGTTTGGAGAAAAGTTTTGAGTGTATGTGAAATACGATAGAAGAGTGTCTCCCTTGGTGTTGTTAGTTTATTTTTACCGATGGCAAGCTGTGGCAGGAAAAATACACAGAGTAGCAGTGGAGCGTCTATTTATGGTGGTCCTATCTGATATTGTGGTTGGGGGCCACGAATAAATTACATACTGTAAAGGAGACACTGTAGGGTGATGTAACTGGCTGATCCCTAAACTCATGACTGAGAGTCAAAGTCCATTATTGAGCCAAACTGAAGCCTCATTGGAGAAATTTGTGGTGTGATAAATTTAAATATATGGTCAGTCTGATCTGAATTATTTCAAGTCTGTTTACCAAAAAGCCTGAGAGTGATACAGCCGCATGATTCACAATATATCTGAGAGCACCATTTGCCATGTGTTGCATGTGTCTACAACATCAATAATACATTTGAGGTGATTTAAAAACACCCTGGATCTCTCAGTGTGCTCCTCAAAGAACTGATAGGTTTCTTTTTCAATTGTTTCAACATACTCAACTCTTAAGTACTTAAGTTACTTAAGTAACTTCCAGACTTCTAGTGTGTTTGTTTGTGTTGAAAGTAGAAGTGTGATGTCTTATATATTTTAAACTAGAATGATTTGAAAATATATTATAACATTGCATTATACTATTTCTCCTTCAGGTCTTTTATTTTATGTGCTAATGCTAAAGTCATTCTAAGTTTTTAACATTTTTTATCTGCACTTCAAAGAACAGCGCTAATGCCTGCACGTAATGCAAATAGTCCCTGATGTCACAACTATGCACACATGTTTCTGTACACGAGTGCGCAAAGGAAAACTGACACCTGTAAAGCCATTGTCAGTTACAGCATGCACAAAACGGAAGGTTGTTTGCCTCAGTTGCTATTTTAACTGCTGGTGCAGTTTGATATGCATTGTTTGAGAGCATAAAATTCTGCTCTGACATGTTGCTTTCTTTTTACATCTACACTGTAGGCAAAAGCATTTTATTCCTACCGGTCAGAACCTGCAACAGTCAAGAATCTAAAACGAGGCCTGGCTAGCTTGCTGCAAGTGCAGCTCAGTACTGGGAAGGTTGTAGAGGTTAGTGACAAACTAATCATTTCACAATCATTTTTAACATACATCCATGTACGTTACTAATAAAAACAAGCTGTCTGTTTAAACAGAATGATGTGTCTGGGAGGTGTACTGTTGAGTACAAGGCAGTAAAAGGTCAAGTAACAAGAACCAAGAATCTAGAGACATGTAAGACAGAAGAGGCTGGATTTACCACTCACAGTAAGGTCAGTCAACATCCAGAACAACTCCAACTCTAACCATACTAAACACTAACTTTTGCAAGCTGATTTCTGAAGTATTTCTGAATCCCGCCCCCTCCAGGTCCTGGGTGTGAGTAGGAAGTCCAGTTCTGTTACAGTGTTCACACTTGAAAATGGTTTCATCCGCTCAGCTGAGGCTGAAGAAACACACTCCCTGGCTGTTAATGCTCGCAGATCTGTTGCAGCTAAAGTCTTGTCCAGGTAGGTACCCTGACTGGGAATTCATCTGAGATTCCGTGTTTTATAACTGCACACTTCAAATTGTACTTCCTTCTATCCTAGGCAAAGCCTGAAATTGGTTGGTACAGAGGCAGGACCACTGGAGGCTGCCGGGAAAGATGCTGCTGCAGTTGTCAAGTCAATAGATGCCAAACTGGCAGCTGTTGGTATTGCGGCTGAGAAGGTCAAATCTGAGTGCAAAGGCTGCCCATCGGTGAGTAACTGTTTACTTACAAATCTTCACTGTCACACAGCTTTGTTCTCATGGATGCTATAGTTGATGATGGCTGCTCCTCCCTGACCCTGGTTCTGCCAGAGGTTTCTTCCTGTCAAAAGGCAGTTATTCCTTCCTCTCCCCTTATAAGGGGAGTTGCCTGATTGTTGGGGATCCCTCTATAGATACTATAGAGATGTGTAGAACGCCTTCAGGCAACTGTTTTGATTTGGTGCAATATACTGTAAATAAAATGTAATTGATCTGAATATTTCACTATCTTTTCTTTTCTTTTGTTATGGTATTATCACCCATGTATAGCTAACATAGCTTATCTGGCTCTGAGAATTAATTCGCTATTATGTATTTCTATTCACATAAATAACACGTCTCTTTAAATTTGTATTAACAGGACAGGGAAAGGTCTTGTACTTGTGTTTCCTCTCCAGGAGCACTTTTCATGCATTTAAACCTTGTTCTGAATAGGAAAAGTGGTTTCAAGTTGAGCTGTTCAAGTCATTAAAACAAAATGACTTGTAATAGTACAGTCTTGGTAAACGGATACAGTTTATTTTTGTACTTTGATTACTAAGTGAAGATGATCTGTGTTCTAATCCCCTCTCCCCTGTGTTCTTCCTCTTAGCTTTTTGAACATTGGCAGGCTGAGAAGAAGCAGCTGGAGCCAGAGAGCCTGTCCAAAACCAGGGCTCCTCGGAGCTTCCTGGCCCTCATCCAGACCATTAGGAAGGCGCCCAAGGACGAGATCCTCAAAGTGCTGAGGAGTGCCAGCAAGACGTCTCTGTAAGTGAGAGCCTTGCTCCATATATATATATATATATATATATATATTTTTGCATCTTATTTCCTCTTTTCTGCTCTGTTTAACTTCTTTCTGCTGGTATCAGACCTCAGGTTGTTGATGCTGTAACATCCTCCCAGACCTCTGAATCCCTGGATGCCATGCTTGAATTCCTTAACTTCACTGATGCCAAAGGTTTGGTTCTGCAGGAGAGGTTTCTCTATGCATGTGGCTTTGCTTCACATCCCAATGAGAGAATGCTCCAGGCCCTGCTGGTGAGTTAAAGGAAAGTTTAAGAATTTCTCCCACTTAGAAGGTATCGTAAGAAACTGGTGCCCTCTAGGTAATAAGACAATAATGCAGGATTCACTCCCAGTTGGTTGTAAACAAAGAATAATTTTGCTTAAGTTACCTGCCAGCAGTCAGTGTTTTCAGCAAATTGTTATAAGGAACATTTTCCTTTCAGGATATTTCTAAAGGGAAGATCGGCAGTACTGACATCAAAGAATCTGTGGTGATCATTATGGGAGCCCTGGTCCACAAACTGTGTCAGAAAGGAGGCTGCAACTTACCTGTGAGTCATCTAAAGAAGAAGTAACACTGAACAAAGCCCAGCATTTCTTAAGGGCCAGAAAGTGTACCCTACATACTGGAATATACTACAAATGCAATAAAAATGACCAACAGTTAACTGATGATTTTTCTGCTTCATGTTTGTCTCTCAGATCGTGGAGCAGGCCAAGAAGATGATATTGAACGCTCCTGACAGCACAACGGTTGAGTCGGAGGTCCAGATGTACCTTTTGGCCCTAAAAAACTCTCTCCTGCCCGAGGCCATTCCTATTTTCACCAAATATGCAGAATCAGAAGTGGGAGCCTACAACACCATTGCCCTCACTGCCCTGCAGAGATATGATGTGAATCTCATGACCAGTGAGGTATGTATCGAATATTACTCTGTGGTTAAACAATTACACACAAATACTTTCCTGCCAGCTAACTTTTTTTTTTTTTTTTTAGGTCAAGCAAACAGTGAACAGGGTTTACCACCAGAATCGCCGCATCTATGAGAAAAATGTGAGAGCCGCCGCTGCTGACGTCATCCTCAGTAGCAACCCCACATACATGGAGGTGAAGAATCTGCTTCTGTCCATCGGAAACTTGCCACATGAAATGAACAAGTACATGCTGTCAAAGATCCAGGACATCCTACGCTTCCAGATGCCTGCCAGGTGTGTTACAGGAAAATAACCTGTCTCTGCATCATAGCTCAGAAGGACTTGACAGTTGTATGATGACAATATATTAAAACTGTTAAATAGGTTTCCCATTTTTTTTCAGCAAAGTGCTAGGGCAAGCTATGAAGGACATGATTTCTTGTAACTATAACCGCTTTGCAAAGGTTGGATCATCATCTGCATTTTCAGGATTCATGGCTCGTAAGTGACAAAAGAATGACATATTTTTTTTTAATTGTGATGAAATATTAAAAGTAAGTCAGCTTAATTAAAGAAAATATCAGTCTTTGACTATATAAGCAAACACAGTTACATGCATACTAACTGAGTACTTCTAATGTCTTGCTCCCTACAGAGTCCCCCGATCTGACCTCCACATACAGTTTGGACATCTTGTATTCAGGCTCTGGGATCCTCAGAAGAAGCAACATGAATATTTTTGGTGCTACTAACGAAGCAATGCTACATGGATTACAGGTGAACTTAAAGAGTTTCATGAAATCACTGAATCCTCAAAAATAGAGCGAATTACTGAAATAAATGGGAACATTTCTCTTCCAGGTGGCGATCGAGGCCCAGGGTCTGGAGACTCTGATTGCTGCCACACCTGATGAGGGGGAGGAAGACCTGGAGTCCTTTGCCGGGATGTCGGCTCTGCTTTTCGACATCCAGCTGCGTCCTGTCACCTTCTTCAAGGGTTACAGTGACCTCATGTCTAAAATGTTCTCCATGACTGGAGACCCCATCAATGTCGTGAAGGGTCTCATCCTGCTCTCGGATCATTCTGAGGTAAGATCCCAATCACAGTTATCAGCTGTTCCCAGAAGCCTTTCCACTCCTTCAAAAACAGTGTCAGATTTGCAGATTGTAGTTCACTCTGTTCAAGGAAAAGCAGCACACACTTAAAAACATACACGTGTACACTCTGTGTGAAGTCAGAAGTGCCGTCATTGTTGCTACATCACGTTGCCACGTGGATGACTAAGAGTGCAATAAGCAGACTTTGACACTGGAGACGGAGGCTGAAGAGGCTTAACGCTGAAGTCAAACTTAGCATAAATGTCAAGAAAGCGTAGAGGAGGCAGGGCAGAAAAAGCTCACATGAGTCATGCTGGGCAACACGTCTTTTTCACTTGGTCAGATGCAACGACTATGTGTACACAGACACAGAGAGGAACGGGTCACACTTAATAACTCCAGCTGTCGAGGTGAATGACGCAAGTGTGAGTAGGGTCTAAATGTGTGAAGCTGAAACAAGGATGAGGTATTGTGAAACAGGTGCTATTTTAAAAACAGTGCTTTTTTAAAATTTTACTTTCATATGATACTCTATCCCTTTTGTATTGGCTTTTCGGTGGAAATGCATGGAATCGGTTCTGACTTCAGTGTATCCATAGAAAAGGGTTACTTCCTGTCTGTGACTGTGACAAGCTCATTATTTCCTACAAAAGCAGATTTCAATCTAGAATCTTTCTGTGGATACAAAAGCCAAGTTGATCATTGTTATTTTCTATTTTGGACTGAATTCAGACATTGATCATTTTATTTTTTGTCAGCTTGTGAGTATTTATGTTGTCGACTTAATAAACTATTGTTAGTTTGGGTAGTAGAAGTGATTCATTCTCATTCATGACTGATATATAATTATGTTTGTCAGAGTGTGATGAAGACTTAGAGTTAATATGGTCTGGTGTATTTTTTTTCTCATTTTCTGGCCTAATATACACAAAGAATAAATGTGATATGAAGTTTAAACTAGAAAAGAAGTTTCTTGTTTTCCTAGGGTTAATTTCCACATGCTTACAGCACTTAATATCTAGAAAGACTCACATTTCTTTCTTTCTTCTTTTTTTGCAAACTATCTTAATTTCAATTAAGCATCCATTGTGGGATTTCTTCTTATTTGCTGTCTTTCAGGTCATCCAGCTCCAGTCTGGTCTGAAGGCAAGTGCGGAGTTTCAAGGAGGTCTCGCCATTGACATTTCTGGAGGCATGGAGATCAGTCTGTGGTACAGAGAGTCCAAGACCAGTGTCAACAACAGGTACATTGAAATAAACAACTTTTACCATAAAACAGCGTACAACACAGCACAAAAAGCCTTTTGATAGACAGACAGTTCTTAGAAAACACTCTCTGCGACTGAACGTCGATTCTAAACCCCATCACTCCACTGCAAATAGATTTCTGTTGATGTTGGATTTACGTGAACTTTAGACAGTCTATAAGTGTTGTCTGATTCATTTGTTCCATCTGCACTTTGGATTTGCTCCAGTATTGTGCTTCACTCCTGTCTCACTGGTAGGGTTGTGTGGCTATGACATCAGGTCTGTCTGGTTCTCTATTTTAAAAACATTACAGTCAATGCACAACAGTAACTCAATATCAGTTAGCTGTCGGCATCCGGTGATGAAAGAGTAATGCTACAGATTTTTAATATTCATATGTGGTTTGATGGACTGCACATCAGTGCTCATGTCCTGCATCTAGAATGTTTAAACTTGAGTCCCAGAGCTGGTTAATTAATTAAGTGATTAAAGAGAAGCTTCAGAATGATTCACTGTGATGATGATGTTAGAAACAATGCCTTGGTTTGTAGACCATTGTTTGGAGGGGTGTTCGCAACTTGAAGTTGGACTTCAGGACTGTTTGTGTGCAGGGGAATGGCAGAGGCAGGTGAATGGATCAGCATAGCTGTACCTCTTCCACTCTGATAATAGAGTGGCAGACTATCTATAGAAGCAGAACAAACCACATTGGTATCTCACCATGTCTACATGAGCAAAGTTTTGACTATTTAGTGCTCAGGCATTAGGGTAGACATTGGGATTGGGCTTATATATGTACCTTTCCCTCTGTGAGTGTCTTCTTAACTGAAACTTGCTTGACTTCTGTTCACTTTATCCTCATTCATGTGATAAACCCCACCAAGAAGTAGACTTATACTGGTGGTATCACCAGTACGTTGATAGCATATTAGAAGGAGAAGCAGATTATAGTCAGTGGTGGTTCTATAGTCTGTTCATAGGGTTCACCTCCAACAAGCATTCATCACCACTGTGTTATAAATAATCTGACATGAAGAAAACAATTCTTACTTGACTGTGACGTGTCATGACCAACAGAGGAGGCAAATTTAACGAGCAGAGAAAAGAAAATATTGAGATGCTAGCGGAAGTTATGTAATAAAAGCACCTCTGCCAAACAGTAAATGATAGACTAGACAGCTTTTAGTTATTTAGCATTATATTTAATTATCAGCTACACTCACCAAGTTTTGCTATTTTTTTTTTTTCTCATTCTCAGAAGGTTAACGGCTTTTTTTTTTTTTTAACTGATTGGCTGTCCTCGCTGTCATTAGGTTTGTTTAAACAGAATCATGCACTCCACTTGCAGTGGCAGGGAGTGGAGTCAGGTGGGGGCCCCAGTAAATTAGGTCAGGTCTCTCCTACTGTCACTGCAAACTTTGCACATTGCAACTACTGTGGTTGCTCACTCACCAGACCAAAGCACAGATTTCAAACGGTCTAATGTCCATTCCTTGTGTTTCTTGGCCCAAACAAATCTGTTCTACTTGTTGCTTTTCTTTAGTAGTGGTTTCTTAACAGCTATTTGATCATAAAACCCTGACTCCTCTGAACAGCTGATGTAGAGATGGGGTGCAGTGACTGCGCCTGAGGACACATTCAAAGTTTTGGCAATTTTCTGGACTGACTGACCTTCAGTTCTTAAAGTAATGATGGACTGTCGTTTCTCTTTACTTAGCTGATTGGTTCTTGCCATAATATGAATTCTAAAAGTTGTCAAATTGGGACAATCAGCTGTATACCAACCTGACTTCTGCACAACACAACTAATTGTCCCAACCCCATTAAGAAGGCAAGAAACTCCACAAACAAGGCACACCTGTGAAGTGAAAACATTTCAGGTGACTACATCCTGAAGCTCACTGAGAGAAGGCCAAGGGTTTGCAGTGCTTTCAACAAAGCAGGGGGTGGCTATTTTCAGGATCTAAAATATTAAACACATTTAGAGTTATTTATATTTTTTCCTTTGCTTCATAATTCTATATATCTTGTTTCATATATTTGATGTCTTCAGTATGTATCTACAATGTAGAAAGTAGTAAAAAAAAGTGCATCCAAACTTTTGACTGGTAGTGTATTCCAACTTCAGACCTACAAAGCCAAGAGTCCCAGCATTGTCTGTTGAACATATTGTTTTGATTTGGCTGTGTTTTCAGAGCAGCATTAGTAGTCACTGGCAACGTTACTGTGGACATGGACTTTTTAAGAGCGGGTGTGGAGGTCAGCTTTGATACAGAAGCATCACTGGACTTCATCACCACTGTCCAGTTCTCAGAATACCCCTTCCTGGTGTGCCTGCAGATGGACAAATCTACCTTCCCAGTCAGGTACTAAATAATAAAAAAAATGTTGCCATCTTTGAATAATCTCTTATATTACTTAACTTTTTATTTGTAATGCTCTTCCTTCAGTGAATACCTGACCAAGTATGAGAGCCTGCCATCAGGGAAGAGTGTTGTATCTCGCAAAGGCAGAAAGACACTCATTCCTGGTTCCGAATTCCCTCTTCACCAGGAGAACTCGAACATGTGCAAGAGGGTTTTCGACTCCAACTGGTAGAAAAGAAACCGTCGGTTTTCCACACGCCCAAGTGCTTCACTGCATTCAGGGACAGCAGCCACACCTCTGGTGTGACACAGCAGGTTGTGAAAAAGCAGTAAAAGACCATAAGAAAAGAAAAGTGGTGCATTTATTTTTATTATTAACAACACATGCAATGTTTACATTCCTGTGAGTATTTAAGTAATTGTAATTCAAGCTTTGTTTCCAATCAGGGATCCTTTCTTTGTGTTTTTATGGATTTATTTGAAAATATATTTATGATGGGCACATACAAGATGTATGTTTTATATGATGTGAAATACTCAGCATGAATAGTGCCACTGTAATCTTCTCCAACACAGTTACAGCAAAGAGAAACATGTAAATATCAGACTTCAGAGCGCAGGTTAACTCAGAACACATGTGCTCTTTTCCCGAACCGATTCTTCTTCTTTCTTTCTTCTTTTTTTTTTTTTTTTTTTTTTTTTTTTTTTTTAAATTAAATGTATTTTAAAGAGGAGTAGTTTATTGTTTTACATCACTGTATAACCCTTGACAAGCTTGAAATCACTTCAGGGTAATGTTCTCAATTAATTCAGTCTTTTACAATCTTATTGAAGATTTAAGTTGCTCCTACAAAGTTAACAGATTTGTTAGCTTTGTCATTACTTTATGAATTATCAGATGAAAGCTGAATCAATAAAAGTGAATCCATTACCATAATTTATTTTTATTTTTTTGTATAGGAATATAATTGGTGTTTGTCTGAAAATGTTTGGGCACAACATGAACTTCATTCCATGTTAAGGAAACAGATTGGTTGACAAAAAGTGTACACTAAAAAATAAAGTTTTAATTTTTGTCCTTATGTTCATGGAAAGTAACACGAATAGAAACAAATTAGGACTGTCTTGTGATGTGATTGCACCAATTACAACACCCGGCAACATGTTGGTGGATTCGGTTAGGATGCTTTGTTTGAATTTGGCTTTCAACTAGATCTTAATCACACACCTGCAAAGTTTTGTGATGGAGTCAAGTTGAAATCACAATCTAAAATAATATTGCAACTTTGACATAAATTAACCTTAGCTTCCTTGAGTATTTGGCAAGTATGTAGTTCCAGGTATCTTGGAGAACAAGCAGCAGTTAGTGAATTTAAATAGTCTTCTGTTTCTTTATGCTATCCAATACTGACTCAGAGTTCAAGACGTTAATCTGTATTCAAAATCCAGTGCTCTTTGGGAGCTGTAACGTCTGCAGCACTCCCAGTTTTCTGTTTCTGCGGTTGCTTCAGAATAAATGTGGGACTGCTTCATTTCCTCTGTTGGTACTGCATGATAAATAAAAATCTAACTTACACAAAATGTGGCTAAATTTGATAAAGACCCTCAAGTAACATCATCTACTTATATTTTCAGAAAGCCTACATGTTAACACCACTGAGCTTGCATAACAAAAACCGAGCTCAGTATTGACTGTTCTCCTCATCATTACAAACATGAAGACAACACTGGCCCATGGCTTGTCATCAAGTTTGTTGCCACCTGATTAAACACACCTTTAGAGTTATGCTACTTTTTAAAAAATCTATTTATATATCTGTTTTTTAAATGAGATAAGCAGAATGAAATTGATTCATAGATGTTAAATGAGGAGGAATGTAGCTATAGTCCTGGGCTAACGACACTAGAATTTAAAACTTGATACTGACACCCAGGAAAATATTTGTAGTTTTAGATACCACAAGGAAATATTTGACTCTAGTAAGAGGCATAATTTTGTTAAAATAAAGATTATAGTAATTCTGGTTCATCTAGATGTATTCAGCCAAAGCCCAATTTATTTCCTGTGCTTCTGGTGACTTGGCACCATGTTTTTATTGCTGATTAGATAGAGTTGGTGAGTATGGAAGCCTGTTTCCACCACTAAAGGAAAAAAAAGGATCCATCACTCAAAATTTCCACTTATTTACTCGAAATTTTGAGAAAAGTAACTCGAAATTGTGAGTTATGTTGCTCCAAATTTTGAGTTATGTTTCTCGAAATTTTGAGTTATGCTTGGTTTTTTTGGGGGGGGGGTTTTTAGTGGCCGAAACAGGCTTCCATAGATGAGGGAAGATGCCACTGTTTCTGTGCTGGTGGACTTTGCTCAGCTTCAGTGTGGAACTTTAAAAGAAAAATAAGACTTTTTAGATGCAAATAATTGTGTTATCATGTTAAATTAACACTCTGTTAATGTTATAGAGTGGCAGGACTGAAAATGTTTGCTCCCATTAACATTGTCATTTTGTTATTAGGCACAGCCACTTGTCGCTACCTCAATGATTGTCACGGTGAGTAGAATGAGGGACCCAAAAGCGGAGCTTGTGGAATGAATAGACAGCATGTTTATTTACAGTGAAAAAGGATTAAAATAACAGTTCAATGTGCAAGCCGTCCTCCGTGTGTTCCTCCCCGTGTCCCAAACGTGTGTGATAGTGCGTCCGTGTCTTCCTCCAAAGTGAATCTGTGCTCGAGACTTCCTTCCCAGCAATCTCCTCTCCGTCCTTAATCCTAAGGATAAAAGTACAACGAAGGTAAGTTCACTTCTCTTCACAGTCCTCATATAACAAGACACTCAAAGCTACTACCAGGCTTGGTTAATATTCCCACGCCGAGTGTCGCCTGACTCTGCAGTTAAGTAGCCCTCTTAAGATGGTGGATAAGTGGGAAGAGCTGAGCACCGCATCAGTTGCCAGCGTGGCGACTCCCGTGCGGAGGTGCTTCCAGGTCAGATGTCACCCGGTGTCTGAAGATGACTTCTGTAAACCCACGGAAATGGAGAGGGAGGAAAAACAGGAGGGCAACACACAGAAAACACACACAGGCAGGTCGGCCGTTGGGGACCATCCAGCCATGACAATGACAGCAGACAGCTAATGTGAGTACCTGCTAAACGTTAAATTGCTAACGTTAATGTGTGTGCCAGCCAGATTAATTAAACTGTTTAATGCTTACATGTTGTTGAAATAGGAGCTATACTCACCTCACAAAATTCTTCCAGGGTGTCAGTCTTTAAGATGTTTTGCCAAGTTGTTGTTCTACTATTCACATGTTCAGCTGCTAGTGGGGGGAGGAGCTGTGTCTGCAGGTGCTAACAGCTGAAAGAGGCAAAGACACCTGCTACAAATGTAAATGTAAAAGTTAGTATCCAAGGTGTTGGCAACCTTATGTGCTGCCAACAGCACATAAGGTACAGAATAAAGAACTAAATTCATTCATCAGTTCAAGACAGCATACTCTTCATATAACATTATTTGATCCTTTAGAGGGTCAAGGATAAAGGATTGATGTTTATAGGGGTAGCAACCCCTAACAGCCCTTACACACCAAGCGCACTGCAAAAAAGCAACACAAAATTCCAAACTTAATCTGTAAAATATATAAACACTGAACATGCGGCGTTTTTCTGGAAAATTTGTCCTCAAGAAAATGTGCTGGAAAAAAATGAGTTAGATATTAAGGGATGATGAGCTGGTTCTTATGTTTCTAAACAAGAAAGAGACGAAATGTAAACTCTGGGTTCATTCAGGGAGAATTTCATGGTTTTCATGGGTCTGTCTGGGGGGTATCTTTGTTTCTTTTGCTGCTTCCTGGAAAAAGCTTTTACTCTACCGTGATCTTTCATGACTTTGTGTAAGTTGGAGGTACAGCCACAGTACAAACACGGATCGTAGTTTGCAGTGTTTTCATTTACAGCTGTAAAGTACCTCTGCCTTCCCACTCACTGAGCAGATAGTTATTAGCAGCAGTAATTAGCATATGCATATCTGGGTGTTTTGCACGCACACTGTTCATGGGTGCATTATGTAAAGACAGCATGCTAGTCTTAGCTGACAATAGTTGTACAAACAGGGTCCCTTCTGGTTCCCAAACAGCTGAGCAATCAAAAATGATGACGTTAAGGCTTTAAAATGAGGAGTCCAGTCTATGTTCCTGTCTGTGAAGGCTGTACCAGCATTACCATGGACTTTTGATAGATCATTGTTTTGCAATGATGATATACCTTAGTGGCTTAAGTGCAACTCACACTTGGTGATCCAGGTGAGCTAATAAATCTTGTGTTTTCCCGTGGTACAACTGTGCCATCAGAGTACCTGCTGGCATCCGAGGACAACAACTGGTCCTTAATGTAGATTCTTTAGAAACCACTGAGAGCAGCTGGGGCAAACCAGTGTCTGCCAGTCTCCCTGCATCCATGGCAACCAAGTAAACACAGCAGCAAACTGTCAGGTTAAACTTAAGCCTGGCCGGGTGATGTTTCAGTGTCACCCGAAAGCTAACCTCGCACGCTGCTAGATGCCAAATGTGTACTTATGTTAGCATAAATCTGTTTGACTGCCTTTCACCCTCGTTTTTTTCTTTTCCTTTCTTTTCTTTTTTTTTTTTTGCTCAGTTGTGAAACTTTACAGTAATTAGGTCAGTGAAACTGAGTGTACAGCTATGGTAAACGCACAGGGAAGATAAAAGAAAGTAAAACAAAAAGTATATATATATATATATATATATAGATAGATAGATAGATAGATAGATAGATAGATTTATTGCTCCTGTTTACCTTATTTACTTTTCAATAACAGTCAGAAGGAAAATATAAGTTCCAATCATAATAGCCTTCATTTGATTTATTTATTATTAATCATGTTCAGATCAGTTATTGCCATTGCTATGCTCACTTCTACATGCACTGACTGTCTAACTAGGCACATGGATTTCACACAACATGATATCCTAACAGTGTTTTGGTAGTGGATGAAAGCATTAATGAATTAGTAATTATTCACTAATAAAGCTGCTTCTTGCAAAAAAACATGTATTGGGTTTCACTTTAGAGTATCTTGATGAATAAGCACAGCTTCTGTTTATTCACATCATTTCCTTGTTGATGATACCACCTATCAAAGATTAATTGAATAAATATTAATTTTATTTAGTTAAACAAATGTTTGATATTAGCGCAGCTGTTTTGAAAGTGGCAGTAAATGCATGTCATTCAAACACAAGGAGGCCTTAAAATGATTAAAATGGACACACACGTGTTCAGTAGCTTGCATTTTGAATTTATTGCAAACATATGTAGGCTTGTCAGTCTACATAACAGTCACTAATCATGTTCTTATACTTTCCAAGTTGTAAGTGCAAACACAGCACTCACTTCTCTTTTCAAGGTATCTCTCAGCTGTCGTCCTGACCTCTTCCTGTTCCTGGGCCAGCCTCGCAACACAGTTGACATCATGCATAGAAAAGGCTGTGGGTAATACACAGCTGTATCTCATTAGAGGACATTTCATTGAAACATGTGCCCCTTTCCTTTAACCGTTCATACAGCCTTTGCACTTATCTCGAACCACCGTCACCTCACCGTATCCCTCTTGTTTAATACAAAATCAAGCACTGATGCAATCACTTTCTTACATTAAACCTCAAAATCAGCAGGTGTTGTATTTGTTTGTTATTTGACAAACGTTTTCAAGAAAGTTTTCAAAGAAATTACATTATCTCTACGTTACAGTGCAATATTGGGCAAAGTTCACCTGAAAACATGAAAAATGTTATTTTCAAATGAAATCAGATTTTAACAAAATTAAACAAATCTACATTGTGCTGCTACCACCAGTGTTTACAGCCATTCATTGCTGACAATGTTGATGACAGGTGCATTAAGTACATTATTATTATTCACAGATAAAAATCATACATGGTGTTCATAAAATGCATGGGAGAAATTATGCTTTACATTCATAACAACATTAGAATAGCTGGTTTACTGGAGCCTGCAATTTGTAATATATTACTTAATTAAATTTCACAGGGTTTAAAAATGATATGTTAATGTGATAAAAAATAAAATCATCTAGACTTAGGAAAATATCACCTTGGACACCTGGGGAAACACATAAAAGTTCAAAACTGGGAGGCAGTGTTATCGTTTTTGTACTTCAAAATAAAAAAATGTGTCATTCATTTATTTAAAATTGGTTTGTTTTTTTTCATCTCTTAGGTCATTTCTGCCATTTTGTACAAATTTTAAATAAATAAATGTTCAGTAGCATCAGTTGCTTTATTTGCACTGCTCTCATTTTACAATGGAGTAAACTGATTTCATTCAATAGCAAACCTACAATTTTAAAGGAAGTGTTATTAGTTACAGTTACATATCTCAGTTACATTTACTTCAAAATGAATTAAATTTGGCAACATTAACATGCTCCAAAGAGCAGCTCGTGCACATGAATCAGTTATAATGAAATCAATTCATAAGAATAAAAGTTGCAAAAATTGCATTTTACATTAAGGTACATAGACTGTCCAGCATGTCCAGATACCTTTAATCCGTGTAACTAGGAAACGTGATAAAAATAGCAAACTACATGTTGCAGTATTACTACATGTATGCTTGTATAACTGAGTAAAATCAAGCACAATGACACATGATGCCCCTGCATATTCAAATGGAAACAGGTAAGAAAAAAGAAAAAAAAGTATTCAAATAAAAATATTTGAATGTATTTGCTCAGTGATTTAGATTTAAACTGGCATTTCTCCGTATGCTATGCAAAATCACTCAAACCAAACACATGACCAGTCTATGCTCACGTCTGCAGCGAAGTAACATAAGTCCTCGTTGTACTCACATAATACTCAAATGCCACACATAACTCACAGGCACAAACACAGACACACATCAGCCCCCATCTCAGTACACAAAAGTGTAAACTGAACCAAAGCAAATAGAGGAAGTCATCCTCTAAATGTCCCAGCTGGCTCTGACGCATTAGGCCCAACGCTACTTAGTTACCTAAGTAAACTAATAAACCACAGTCCCAGCTTTGTTTCATCTGGCATACACACATAGTGTATTACTTTTCTCCTGAGCATGCTTTAAAAATATAAATGCAGACCACTTCATACAATATATCAGTTATGCAGCAGGTTTGAGCATCATTTCGTGAGTCATGGCAGGACGGTTATATAGACTTCAGGACAAGCATGGGCATGGACTGCTCAAAAACATGGAAATGCTGCTGCTGTGCATGTGAAAAATATGTTGGTGAGTTGTAACACAGCACATAGTAATGCCAGCCGATTATTCTTTAACACATATTTAGTAGGGAATTCTTTACAATATATTTATTTTAAATCCAACAATAAAGGGTTTCCTTTTTTGACTGAACTGACTGTAAAAGAATAAAAATATATACAGATAGTGAGGTCTTAATCTGTCGTGTTCATTTTTAATTAAGTGCAGACAAATGGTCCCTGTGCAAAATGTGGATCATACAGCAAAAATGTTTTGTTTAAAACCAAGACTATGCAACTTCCACTGAACAGCAACCACTGTGGCACAAACATCAAATGGAGGAAAGCAGTACTTGAATGAAAGATGCCATCATCATTACACCCATCTGGCTATTTTTCTTGGTTAAATAAGATTACATACCTAAACCTTTAAGTGTGAAAATGAATAATATGTTATACAGAATCGACTTGCTTGGTATCTATGTTATCTTGTTTATTATTTTACTGGAGCCCATACATTCATTTTCTGTGGCTGATCTTGGTGACAGCAGGCTAAACAAAGTTGCCCATATGTCTTTCTCCCTAGCCACATCCTATGTAATCCCTCCAGGGTATTCTGACTCTGTGCTGTGATCTCTTTCCAGTTGGATCTGTCTGGAATACCTCCAGAGAAATCAGATGTCTGAAGAGCAGCGTCTCTTTCAGATGTCTCAGATCACCCTCTCTTTGCATCACCCAGCGAATGAAACTTGTTTCAGATGCTTGCATCTACAACCTCATTCTTCCAATGACTAATGGGTAGGGTTAGAAAGCAGATCCACCGGTAAGTCGAGAAGTTTGATGCCAGGCTCAGCTTTCACTTCAGCGCTTCCACTCCACTCTGCATTACTGCTGATGTGGTACTAATATCTGCTATCAACCTCTCTGTCCATCCTCTCATGGATGAATTCACTTGGAGTATTAATTCACTCAGAATTCCAAAAAAGATCTGTGTACTGTGGTCTTGGGATCTTCTACATGTTACCTGGCTACTAAGGATCCCAGTGTCCACAGGAAGACAGAGCCTTTGCTGTGGCTAGAAGTTGCTCAGTGTCCAGTGAGCATGGTTGACCTCTTTAAAATGGCCCTGATCCACTACCAGGAAGGATCTAATGTTAGAAGCTTTAATGCAAAATGATGTAAACTTTATGTAGGAAGTTGAGCAATGTGATACCCCAAAAATAAATAAAAATGGGACCCACCACTTGCTACCTGCACTGTCCCCAACATTCACATGGCATTCAGGATTGCCAGTCAAATAAGCCCTACAATGCCCCGGACCTATATAAGATATCCTCTGTCCTACCGAGCAACTGATGTGTGCAGATGAAAACAGCAAATGCAAAGCACCTCTTTTGATACCTGCTGATACACCAGAATCTCATATTTGTCTCTAATACCGTACTGCATTTGCCCACTGGGATAAACAAGACCGCAATGCCTAAGTGTGACCAAGCATCAACCGCAGCAGACAACCAACATGTGCTCTTGTCAGGTACATCTTTACTTTTTGTTTTACTTTTCTGATAAAACCACAGGGACCTGTGACATCCTTACACAGTAGTGTTAATGAATTGCACACACACTCAGTAAGGTCAGGTACAGCGTAATGATCACAAGAGGTTATAGAAAACAAATCTTGGGTATGCGGACTTTAATAAAGTTGAATTTTATTTTGCACATATTAAACCTTTTTTTAGGTTAAATATGTTTTTTCAAAAGTTACATAGTCTTGCTTAAAATACTTGGCGACAGTAAAATATCAGTAAACCAGTTGCTTTTGGCCAGTAATGAATAACACTGAGCAGGAAGCGAAGACTTGCCTTTTTTTCCTTTTGAATAAGCATGCTGCAGGGCACAAACAGCATTTCAACAGATCTTGACAGCAGCTGAATGGAAAGCCTATTCACATCAGAACTTCAGCAGGACAGCGTGGCAAAAATGTTGAGTTGACCCTATGTAGCACTGCAGTGCGTATACAGTAATGTCTGCTGCAAGTTTAAACAACACAGAACTGGGGGCAGATGATGGTGGTGGAGGTTGTCCTGGGAGTAGATCACGGGGTGGGTGACAGGTGAAAACTGAACTTACAGTGACTGAAGGCAGAATCCTCAGCAGAAACATCTAAAGGTGATAAAGAAGACAAAACATGGGTGTTAAAGTCAGATGGATGCTGTGAAAACAAGTTGAAAACATAAAGGAGAAAAGTTACTGTGTGGTGCAGTTTGTGAAAGAGCTACTTTCACCAGCCACTGAAACGCATTCACTCTTCAGATTTCCTCAACCTTAGCCAGCTGATCAGATTCAGCCAAATCACTGCTGAGGGCACGCTACTAGATTTGTTTACATAGAAGGACAGCAGTGCCCTCCACCTCCCTCTCCCCATTTAGGAATAGGCAGAGGGGGAGGGGGCTATAAAAAGTTGACCCCATCAGAGTCCCGCAGAATCGCCTCCAAGCTGGAGCTGCAACAGCATCTGATCTCTCCGAGCAGCTGTCCTCTCCCTGCATCAGCACAACAAATACTTTGCATTGCCTGACCTTTTCCTCCTGCATCACTATCCCAGCAATCCCCCCCACACACACACACACACACACACACACACACACACACACACACACACACACACACACACACACACACACACACACATGTCCCTCTGCCCCACCGACACCAGTTACACACACACGTACGCAGACACACATGCACACGCCCTGGTTTCCCTTCACACAACTACTCAACCCCGCGCTAGGCCTCTGCCTGACACGCACCCAGCTGACATGAATCCCTCATGCTCATGGGGATGTATTATTGCTCTGACACATTAGCTGAGAATGGACTGTGGTTAGTTGTAAACGTGTATATGTGTATATCTAAAAGAAAAGAAAGAATATGACACTAAAAAGATTTCTTTTTATAATTTTGCATTTATATTTGGTTTGTTTTGCTGGTGGGTTTTTTTATGCCCTTCTTAATTGTTCATTTGCAGAACTGCTGTTGATGTTTGTCAACTCAGATTATTGCCTTGGTAACCTGTCAACCTGTGTTCATATAAACATCTGCTGATAAAACAAGCATAGCACAAACATAACACATTGTGGGCCACACGCACCCCAATTTGATGCTGAGAGGACCAATCCAGTAAACAGAAATGTTTAAAATACACAAAAGTTTCATTTTATTTATTTGTTTGTTTGTTTGATGTTTGTGTGGGCCTACTATAAAAGTAAACCAAACAAACAAAAAAGACACCCGATATAATGTTACAGTATATAGGCATTTCTGTGTTATCGATTGGAATTTGTTTTTAATATATGTAATTTAATGGTTTATCTTTTAGGCTGCTTACCTTTGGTACTGTTGGACAATAACAAGACTGTAAAATAAATGAAAATGAAAAATGAAAAAATGCAGTTAAAAATCCAAACTTTCTGGCCTTCTTCTGCTTTTACTTTTTCCAAAGCCATCCAGTGAGCCAGATTTAACCTTTTGACAAGCTGTTTATACGTTACTGCAAAACCTCTGTTGTAGAGCTCTTTAGGATTTTCTTAAAAAGTGTCAATCAACCAAATTTTAAAAAAAAATGCTTCCTGGATTTACATCACTTTGATCTTACTTACTATTGTTAACTTTTTCTGACTATATTAAAATGCATGTATTCAATTTTAATTCATAGCTACAAAAGCATCATTAGTAATTAGTAAGTTCCAATGGCTAAAATTTAGATCAGTATTTAGGTCCATGGTTCAACAGTACAAAGTCATAGCTGGTGTTACAGGTCAAAATGTATGCAGTTTAAAATGGCCTGAGAAGTAAGGTTGGAATGTAAGTTAGACACAAAACAATGTGAAATATAACTCCTTATTATTCTATTACTGTAAAACTTTTGGAGTGAAAACTTTAAAACCAGTGCAAATAAAACTTGTGCTGCAGTACCATTTACCACCACAAAGATCTCTTGTTTAAATTTTATTTCCACAGTACTGTAAACTCAGGTTTTTGGTTATTATATAAAATTATTTAAAATTATTTCCTGATTTGCATAAGCTCTACATTTAAACGACACAGTCAATTATTCTGTAAAATTAGTGATCAGATTATTTTAGCCCTCTGAACCCACTGCTTGTATTACTTGGTTAAATTAAATTAACATTATATTGGCTACATTGTGTCCACCTTCACTGCACAATAAACATATTGCACCTAGGAGTTAATTATTTTGCAATCTGTGAACTGATTATTTCTCAAGATATTTGTTGGATTTGTGAAATGTCACAAGCAAGGAACGAACACACTAATAAACTGTAAAGTTATACAAGTAATTAAAACATTTATAACGGATTAAGAATAACTTGATGTGAGGTGTCACTAACTGGAATAGTTTCCTGTGACACTTTCCAACCCTGAGAATAAACCATGTAAACAAAGTCGTCTCACACTATCAAAATAGCCCGACGATGTGTAATGCAGAGAAAAGCTCTGGGCCATGGCTGAAAATCCAATCTCACTGCAAGTCCAGCCGAGCTCAGTGGAGTCGGGTTACCTGTCATGAAGCTGCTGCATGTCTATTAACATGTCACTGTTATAGCATCCAAGCTGGACTGCTGCTTTGACCACATTTATGGCACAAAATAATGAAAAAACACGAGTTGGTGAGGTCATCTGAATGTAACACACGAGCAGCCTCGGAATGTGAATCTCTATAAGTTTTGGTACGGACTTCAGGAGATTCCTTGAAAGTAACAGCATTAAATTCTGTTGAGATTTTATGTACTGAATTTGGCTAGCACATTTGTAAAGAGGCACTTGCAAAACGTGCAGCGCTTTAGAAATGTATTATTCACATGCAATAAAAACAACAAAACACAAATATTTTAGCTATCTGTCAAAACCTTGCTTAAGACGAAAGATTACTGAATTCACTGAACTGAATTAATGTTTTTATATCCAGATTCGAGCACACTGGAATTCTCTTTCTTTTGCTGCCTGAATAAAAAAAAAATAGCAATGTGCTTTTTAATGTGTATTTTTTCAGCTTTTCTGTAAAACAGCACCTTTGAAAAGTCGTAATTAAACAACAATATTTAGATTTGAGCATTAAAGTTATCATTTTATATAAAGACCTTAAATATGCTGGCAGATTAACCACTACAGTAACCTAAGAAAGATCTTGGTGATTACCCTAACCCTCTATTTAATGTAGCTGTTGCATAAACCTTATATTATTTGGTGGTGGTGTAATTAGGTTAAGCGCTGCAGATATAGCCAATTATAACCAGAACAAATTGGTTCACAATGATATCTTTATTAGTTTGAAATAAGTGCAGAGGCACCTTATCATATATTAAAACCGAAAAGTTTGTTTTAAATAGTGCTTATTTTGAATATGATGCCAGCAACATGCTTCTGAAATGTTGGTTCAGGGCATATCTCTCACTGTCTTCTATGGTATCTTCTTTTAACAGATGCTTAAAAAGTGCTGAAAGCAATTTCTGCAGTTTTGAAAGCCAAACCTTTCCCCAATCTTGCTTGTTACAAAATTCCATCTCCTCAATTCGTTTCTAAATATGTGCACAGCCTGGTTTACAATTATTAATGAAATAAACAAAGCCTTCCTAAAAAAAAAAAAAGACCATCCATATGACAGCATATGTTGCTTGAAGATCTGTATGTATCAGTTAGCATTAATTGGGTCTTTATAGGTGCCAAAGCCAACTCCTCACCCAACCTCTGACACCACCAATACCATCAAGAATATCTGTTGTTTAACTGTGTCCTGTCAAAACTTTGGATGATTAAAACCCTCTTACTAATTAGGCAATTTAATTTGGAGGTAATTTTATTTTAGCCTTTGTACAACTTTTCCAGTCTTTTACCCCTGCCCAAATCCAAGGTGGGGCTTTGTACATCAAAAAGCGCTATAGATGAGCAATGCATGTATATCAAAAAATATTATAGATCATGATCAGGACAAATCTTAATGAGAATTTGCCTGAAAAGCTAGATTTATGTGCTGAGTGTGCTGAGCAATTATTTTTCCATATGTCAGAAAAAAAATATTGTTCTACAGAAATTTCAAATCCCAGTGTTTTTGCTTTTTATCTCTATTTAAAAAACAAACAAACTAAAATTTCAGATTGGGAAAAAATGTTGCTTTTTGTTTGTGTGTGTGTTTTCTGTTTTTAAATGCTAGTTGTTTAAATGCACTATTATTCCTTCCATCCTTTGTGTCTAATCAGAAATTGACTGCAAATATACATCATGACATCACACACAGGAGATTTTGAGCAGTCATATTGATATTAAGATTCTGAGCAAGATTTACAAAAAAATAAATGTCTTTTATCTGCTTCCAACAGAATAGATTCAAAATTTAAGAGCGGTTGGAGTGAGGTGAAATCAGGTAAATACTGAGTCATACAAGTTGCCAGTCTGAATGAGCAGGTGAAAAACTTACATCACTTATGACGAGACGTTCTCTTGGTCACCGATGCTCCACTACGAAGCTCATCGTTGTGCCATCGAAGGAGGGAGGGGCAATGATCCTTGGACCTTGCTGCGTTGTGATGCTGATAACTGGCTTTCTCTCTGAGCTCCTGCCACTTCCCCTGGTGGTCAGAAGTCCCAAACTCACAGGTAACTGCAGCTGCGCCTGGGAAGTTTCTCCTGTTGCGCTGTAATATGTACTCTCTGTGCCTGCTGTCTTACTTTCTGGCTGAGGACTAATATTCTTTTTGATATTTTCTCCACCTGCATCTTCAGAATAACATGGGGACTGTGGCAATACCATCTGGGCTGCTATAGCGGGTGAGGAGATGAAGCCTGGGTAGATCATGTAGGTGGGGGCATATCCTCCTGGGTTAAGTGCCAGGGGAGACACAGAAAGAGGCACCGGGGTTACAGGTGCCACAGGTGAATGAGGCATGGGTACATCCACGTACTGACCTGTTTCAGGGTCAAACAGTCTCTTAGAGGTCGCTTTAATGGGAGTGTCCACCAAGTAATAATGTCCAGTTGTGGGGTCCACAAGCATCTTGCGCTGGGTTTGTTGCGCTGGCTCTCCAGTAGAAGGTGTAGGCGACACATTTGGGAGGTAGGGAGAGAAACAGAGCACCTGCTGCTGTTTCTGAGGCCCTGTTGCTGCTGTTGAGTGATGGTAGATGCTCGTGCCTGGGTACTCCATGATTAACGGAGAAGTTTTCTGCTCAGGTGCCTTGAGGTCAGCTGCATTGACTTTACTGTTATTTGAATTGCCCTCCTTCGAATCGTGTACTGGGTTTGAAAGTTTGATTTCATTTTTGTAGGCCATCCCTGGTATGGTTAAATAGTTCTCAGAGTCCGAGCAGCCCTGTGTAACCAAAGGATTAGTGGGGCTGATTTTGACCTTTCCATTCTCCACCTGGCAATGTCTTGGCTCTTCTATTTTCACAGACAGTGGAGCCGCTGGAGTTTTGGAGCTTTTCACAGTTGGTGGCAGTGGAAATGCAGAGCTGCTGTCTGAGTTAACACTGACGCAAGCCTTGCTGCCAAAATGGAGGATGCTTTTGTTAGTAAATGTTTTGCTTTGTTGTGTTTTAAAAGCATCACTGTCATATGGAACATGAATGACATTGAGGGCTCTTTTGTCTTCATGCTGCCTCCCCATTTCTGACTGAGGAGTGCTGTCGGTGCTTGCCGCCTCGGGCACCTCTGCTCCCTGCTCTTCCCTGGCAATAAGCGACAGCACATGGCTGCCTGTGATGGGGCGTGGAGCCTGACTCTTGCGCTTCCACTCATTTTTGTCAAAAAAATAAAGCTGCTCCATCGTTTTGACAGCAGCTTTTATTTTCTCCACTGCATCTTGTTTTGGAGCTGCCGCCTCATTTCTCCTTTCCACCGTCTCACCTGCAAACTTCTCCTGCCTCTGTTTCACCAGTTGAGTCGTTTGAATGTCTGATTGGTCAGGGCACCCCTGCTTGGTTATGACTGGTGGTGCCCTGTTAGCCACAGAAGCAGAAGGTCCACTTTCACTCTGGGGATTTTCAGATGTCACTGCTTGTTTCTGTGCTGCAGTTTTCTCTGACTTGACATTTGTTTTAACAGAGTTGCATTTGATTACAATAGGAGACGGTAATAAATGTTTAACATGCTCTGTTTTTGCCTTTTCCTCAGGTTTATCAGCTGCTGTGGAACATTTACTGCCACTATTATTCAAGGAAACAAAGCGATATGAGCTTTTTACCAACTTGCGTACATCCCTTACGTGGTATATTGGTGTTTGAAGCTTGCATTTGGTGTCTCTTATGTCTCTAACAGTGAAATTTGGAACCCTGTCGGCTGCTGACAAAATGGGGACTCTGGTATCATCTGCTGTCCTGAACGTGTTGACATTGTAACTTATTTTAGGGGTTAGGAGATTGGCAATATTCAGCGTGCAGCCTTTATTTTCTTTCACGCTTCTCAGACATATTTTTATCTCGGGTTTCTTCCCTCCCTTCCCATTTTCTTCTTTGTTTCCGTTATTACTCGCTTTCAGCTCCTTTTCACTTTTCTGTGAAGCAGCAGGTGTGACAGAGTCAGGTGTGTGTCTTAGTAAATCTGAAAAGTTCCTCTCCTTTGAGTGTAGCTGGCAACTTGGAACAAAAAGAAGTTTTGACAGCATGCTGCTGGTGTCTAATCCTTCCTTTGCTGCAGTCTGTGTGCCGGTTACAGATGGAGGTTCGACCTGTTTTACAGGTTCTGGATCATCTTCTTTTAATGAATTAGATGAAGTACTTTGACTGTGGATGGTTGAATCCTTTTGGAGTTCATCCTGTCCCTTGTCTGAATCATCTGGTGCTTTGCTGCCTTTTGTTTCCTCTCCATCACCACAGGAACTCTGTTTGCCAACCTCCGGACACTGATCATCAGCAGAATTCACAGTGAATCCTGAGCCCGATTCTGATGTTTGCCTTTGTAGGCCTCGTCCCGGACTCCTTTCTCTCATCACCTCTGGATCTTTTATCTGAAAACAGGGGGATGTGTCACAGATTTCACCCCTCTCCATTTTGCGCTCCTGCTCAAATTGCATCTTTTTGGAAATCACATTTTTCAAAAGACTTGATGCAAAAATTGCCCTTTTGTGAGTATCTCCTAGGTTATCTGTGTGATGATACTGCATCTCATACCCAGACCTGGCCAGCACAGCCCCGGTAGCCCCATTGGGTCGTGCCTTTTTGGGGCATTTTGAATCAGCTGTTTCATGTGATTCAACATTACAGCGGAAATTCAACGTGACACCGCGCTGCACTGGCTGAACGTGATCTTTCACTTGGATCTTTTTGCTGGAAGATGATGCTTGCTGTGAAGTTATTCTTTTATTTAGCGCGCATGTTTTGTTTTGCGGGGTTTTCGTGCCGGTAACAGACTTACCATGCTTCTTACTTTCCACGTTCTTATTCATTTCCAGCGTTGCCCTGGAAGTCTTGTGCGCAATTACGCTGCGCTCTCCGCCTCGCGTTATGTTTCCATAATTCCAGTCTACATAAGCCGACCACTTATTGAGGCCGTATTCCGAGACAGAAGATTCACTAGAGGTGCTAAGATTAATAGCATCGAAGTACGGACATGCCAGGCTCCGGAAAGACTTGGCGGTTAAATTACGCACCTCTTTATCAGCGTCGTCCAGCTCACTGATCGAGCTGGACGCTCCGCTGGAATACTCATTAATATCTTTCCGTCTCAGTTTGGTTGCAAGGTGCTGACGGCCCGGAGCAGGGATGAAATATGGGGCTCTGTCGCACAGGGGCCCCGCGCTGGCGCCAGGGCTCACAAAAGAGAAATTGCTCTTGTCTCCACAGTGTTTCTTGTACTCAGAGAAGTTGTTGTCAAATACATTAACTGGGTCGTTAACTGCTCTAGAGGAGGTTTTTATCGACAGGTGGATTTTCCCCTCACTAAGGTCTTCACTTGGATTTTTACACACGCTTTCGTCCGAGCTGGCGCATTTGTCCGAATCACAAAGATCGCTCTCCTCCTGCTCAGTGCTGACAACTGTTCCACCGAGATTTGACTGCACTTTCGCCTGGCCCCTGCCCTCTAGTATCAGAGTGCCCTCCTGAGTATCATCGCTTTCAAAAGAGGCGTAATCCACAAAGGAATAGACCAGGTTGTCGTCTTCAAACTCCCAACAGGTCCCGCGGCCTAAGTCGTAATCTACGTCGTGGTCGAGCTCGGTTAGCTGGATTTCGTGCGTGGTGATATAGTGGGACTCGTCCTCCACGGTGTCGGAGCCGCAGTGGTCGGACAGCAAGGCGCTGGCGCCGTCATCGGACTCCGTCTTGCTGTTCAGATACATGTCCGTGTACCGGAGCTCATCACTTTCACTGCACACATTGTCGCTGCAGTCACTCGGGTCGAGCTCGACCTGGCGCTGATTCTCATTCTCGGAGTCCTGATCAGTGTTGGGAAGTTTGGTCAGAGTTTCCGACTGGGGCTCATCCGATCCGAGCCCGGGGACGGTGTCCTGCTTGTCCTTGCTCGAAATGATTTTACTCTTTCGTTCCTGCTCCCCCTGATTTGAACTGTCGCATTTGATAACAGACAGCTGGTTCCCTACACCTGTGAAAGTCACTTTAACCGTTTTGGGACAGTCAGGTTTTACGTCCAGATCCACATAATTGGACTCGTCGCTGTTCGTCTCGGTGGCGTGGTCCTTACCGCCGGTCTTGTCCTTATCCTTGTCATCTGTGAGCAGCTTCCTGTGAAGTCCGGTGTCATCTTGGTAAATGAGAGTTTTCTCCGCTGCTTCCATTTAGTCCGGTCTTACCGTCAGGTGGTCCTCGTTTACGATGTTATCCTGACACAGGACGGAAAACTCTGCAGGCTGGAGGGACGGAGGGGGACAGAGAGCCGAGAGGGAGAGAGAGAGGGAGAGAGAGAGGGGGAGTAGGAAAGAGAGAGAGAGAGGAAAGTCCCACGATGGTTTCTCTAATGGTTACTCTCAGGCTCAAGCAGCTACTTTATTTTTGTAGCAACAGATCGGTCTTCTGAAATCAACATCCAAAAAGTTCATTTTCAGCACCTTTTCTCCAAGAACAGCTCCTCCAGAGTCCATTATTAGTTTCACTTACATAAACAATACAAGCATTGCTCAATATTCTTTACAATTTACTAAATAAAAAAA